TAGTTTTCATTGTGAAATATAAGAAAGCATTCAAGTTAGCCTGTTAAAACCCACCCCCACCAGCCCGTTCCATCCGCACATTCCTCAAGAAGAAATTTATGATACGAATCCCTATATTGGAATATTGGAGCCAAGGAATCTGAAGTTGTTCTCAGCTGGCATTTAGTATCTTCCTCAATTGGGTTTACCTTTAATAAGAGCCCATAACGACAACAGAAGTAATCAGGATAATGGCTGGGATAGTAACAATCAATATCATCTCTACATTTCTTTCTATCCTTATTTCAGGGTTTCCTTCCTTCCCTCTTGGCTCAGGAACTCTCTGAGGTCAGGGGTTGAGCCTCGCTCGGTCAAACAGTCAGGTGGCCCCAGGTGGTTTCAGCTGCCTCCGTGCAGCATTAGAGTTATGTAGAAGCAAGGTGGAACCCATGGCAAAAACTCTTGAGGTGAATGGAGACAGGAAGGTTATGAAGTATGTCTGAGAGGGCTTTGAGACGACTGAGCTCCCAAACATGTAACAGAATGATTATTTCAGTGGGAATGGGTAAGCTCCTAGAAAGATAACAACTCTCTGTCTCCTACCATTTGAATTCAGAGGAATCTATTGTAAGTCAATATCCTTATATAAAAACATTGCATAAGTCCAGGAAGACCACCACCATGATCCTCCAACCTGACCTGCCAGGCTTAAAAACAGCGGCTCTGCTGGGTGCGGTGGCTCACACCTATAATCCCAGCACTTTGGGAGGCTGAGGCGGGTAGATCTTCTGAGGTCAGAAGTTCAAGACCAGCCTGACCAACATGGAGAAACCCCATCTCTACTAAAATTACAAAATTAGCAGGGTGTGGTGGTGCTTGCCTGTAATCCCAGCTATTCGGGAGGCTGAAGCAGAAGAATCGCTTGAACCTAGGAGGTGGAGGTTGCAGGGAGCCGAGATCGTGCCATTGCACTCCAGCCTGGGCAACAAGAGTGAAACTCCATCTCGAAAAAAAAAAAAAAAAATATGGGTCTTTGCCTAAGAACTTACACACTCAGAAGCTTTGGACCTATCTCGTTGAATTCTTCACGTTCAGAGGTGTGGGTGGGGATTAGAGCTGAAATACTCCGCAGAAGAAAACAAGAGGAATCTCTATTTTTGTTCCTGAGAGAGAGGAGCAAAAAAAGGGGGTTGAGTAACCTTAAAATGGTGTTGGGAGGGCCTAGAGCCTGTGTGAGAGAGGAAGCTGAGGGAAGTTTAAAAACAGAAATGCCCAATGTTCCCTTTCTGAGCTGTTTACATTTTTGTGAAATTAACCCCCTCAGGAGACCCCAATCTTCACTAACGCCCATGATGCACGTACAGACCTTGTAAGGAGTTCGTATGAAGAAGCAAGAGACAGGGCTGACACGGATCACAACAGTGAGTGCTCAGGCTCAGCAGGATTACTCCTAAATGGAACTGGCTTGAGATCCCAAAGCCAGAGGCATTGATGAGAAGGAGTGTCTTCCCCACCCTCCATCCCCACTTCCAGGGGAATCTGGAATATTTTGAGGAAGACTGTTGGGTCACTCATTGATCTTCAAATAAAACATGAAACCAGTCTTGCCCAGCGCCTAAAGAGCAGTTGGCCACAGCTGACAAACAGTTTACCCAGTGGGAGCATGGAATTAGGTGTCACCTTCAATGCCTGATGTTTAATGAGGACAACCATCTCCAAAGGGAGGTTACCTGCCTGCCCACTGTGCAGTCTACTTCTAGGCAACCTAGCACAGTCCTCCCTGAGAGGGGGTTCCATGGGGCTCATTGAAGACAGTGAGTGGGGAGGAAAATCCTGCAGAAATTTACCATGTCTGGCTGGCCCTATGGCTCACTGCCATTTACATATGGGTCACAAATCAATCACTTGACCTCATGATCTGAATACCTTTTGTCCTCTTTGTCCTAGAGTGATCAAAGGAAGGAGATTTAGTCCCCACCCTCAGAGACAGAGAGTGTGGGCTCTTCATTCTGACTGGGGGGAAATGGTTCCTGCCCGCAGGACACTCCGAGTTCCCAAGGAGGGAGAAGTGTCCACATGGAGGACACAGATCAAAGCTGCCAGTAGACAGGCGAATGTGGGCAGAGCCGCACTGCACACACACGATTCACAATTAACCAAGGAGTTGGAGTGAAGGTGCCAGCAGGAAATAGCTTGTTGGGCCTGGGAGTTTTGAGCTGAGCTGGATTTGGAGGGAGAGAGTTCTTACTAGAACCAACAGAAGACAGTCATGTGCTGCACGGTGTCCAGTACAGTGCGAGGCGTTTGCACAATGACCGCTCACCCGCGGTTCCCCTGCCTGCTGGAAGGGTAATCTCAAGCACGCTCACCACTTGCTTCCTAATAGAGGCCCCAAACAGCTCGCCACAATGCACACAAGAGGCAGACTCCAGATGACTTTATTTACACAGCTTAAGTTTTTCAACAGGGTCGAAGGGCATTCTCAGAGCACACGGGTGTGGCCCGGGACAGGCAGGTTCTGGAGGGGGCACCTGAACAGGTTTCTCCTCTGTGGCACCAAGTGACCATCTGTAAGTCTGAATAGCACTTTACAGTTCGCAAAGCTGTTTTACACCAAGCAGAACACTCATCTAGTCCTTACTAGGCTCGAGGCCAGTATCCTCTATATTTTATGGAGAAGGAAGCTGGGGCCTGAGGAATTATAAGACAAGTTTAAGGCCCCACGGCAGAAGCGAGGACGTGGTTTCTACCACCCAACCCTGGCCTAGCATCACAGCCTTCCGGCCGTTGACTTTGGGATGCAGAGCATTCAGAGACTATCAGAGTGCATCTATGAAAGGCCACCTGGTCATCTGCATTTCAATCTAGCTCTGCACATTTCATGAGAAACCCACAGAGGGAGGATGCAGAGCAGCAGCGTCTGGGAAGGCTGCCCGCCTGGGCTCTGGCTCTCGGGAGGAGACGGGGAAGCCAGCGTCCCTTTTCCAAATGCGGGTCACCTTTGCCCCGGCCTGGGCATTGTTTGGGAGAGGAGAGCCTGGCCCTTGATGGCTGGCAGCTGTTGCCCTCCCCACGAGCGCCCCTGCCCTGCCGGCCCCTCCGGAGTCTGTGCCCATATAAGGGAAGCACTTCCCCGCGGCCGAGGTAGAGGCTGTGACGCCCCCGGTCCACGTCAGCGGCCGGCGGGAGGCGGGAAAGCCCGGCAGAAAAACAAGTGACGCGGCGCAGAAGGGAGGAGGCGGGTGGCGGGAGGGAGCGGCCACACCTAGCTGGGTTAACCCCTGCCCAGGCGGCCAGAGCCAAGGACTGAGTGTGGCCAGCCAAGGTCGTGGACTGTCTTTGAGCTTCTGTGTGAATGGGGGGCGTGGAGCCGGGGAAGTCGGAGGCCAGGGATTGCGCTGGTGACACCTGCCTGAGCACTTCTGTCCTGGGGTGGGCGCAGGTATTTGTGCTCTGGAGGATCTGCTCTTCGGACGTCCAAATGTGTTTCACAGCCTGCGCATTTTGCCTGGTGGTGTCAAAGACGCATATGACATACTGCAGAGCCTAGGGATTTTCCCATGGGTGTTTAAATACAATCACGTCTCCTATTGAAACTCAATCTCTTCTGTCCTGAAACAAGCAAACAAAAAGAACAACTGGCATCTGTGTTTCCAGAGACCCCCAGAAAGTCTCAGAAGAGGTGCTGCTGTAAGGGGACTGGCTTCTCATTAGCCAAGCAGCCTCCCCATCTCTTCCTCAGACCAGTCAAATAAAAAGGTCTGGCCTAGGGGCTGATGGAGAAGCAGCCTGAAAAATGAGGGTTTCCGGAGGCCTCTTGTCAGGCAGAGGCCAAGAAAAAAAACAGAAAAGGAAGAGAAACTGCAATGAGAACTCAGGGCTCATTCATGGAGCCTTCATTTTCCGGGGGCACTTCATTGTGGGGGGCACTCTGATTTCTGAGTCCAGCTGTGCACTCAGATAAATCCTGTTGGAGTGCTGTTCTCAGAGGCCTGCCCCATCTCGCCTGAAATTGTGGGTGTGCGTGCCTGCCTGTGGTGGGTTGGGGAGTAAATTGGCTATCTCAGCCTCCGGGGAAAGTCCCCAGGGCCTCCCAACCATCCCTTCACACCCACAGTGCTTAGCCACCCACATTCGCTCCTCTATCTAAGACCTACTTCCTCTCTCTGCTTCCCCTGGCCCAGTCTCTCCCTGGTGGAGAGTTGTCTGGGTGGAAAACTCACCCCATCCCCAAGCTCTGGGTGCTGCGATAGAATGGGAGTTTGAGGCATGAAAAACAGCTAGTGGCCCTCCTTGGCAGGGCATTGGCCAAGGATGTGGCAAGTTTGCCTTGGCCAATGTCCCTGTCTCTGAGGCTTGGCCACAGTCCCTGTCTCTGAGGTTTATCCTCAGGGTGGCTGGTGAACATGGTTTTTCATGCCTGGGAATTTTAAAGCCTGCTGGAGGTGCCTTCCTTCCTCAGGAGCCAGTGTCCTGGGACTCGATGATACCAAAGTTGCTGAAGAATAAAAACAATGGGGTAGTGTTTGTGTGTCTGCCTGGACAGTACTGCATAGTGGTTATGGGTGTGGGCTTTGGGGTCAGATGGGAGCTTAGCTGTGCCACTTGCTGGTAGGTCTTCTGGCAAGTTCCCAACCTCTTTGAGCCTCAATTTCCTTGTTTGCAAAATAGAAGTAAAAGTATTAATCATATTGATTTTTTTTTTTTTTTTTTTTTTTTTTTTTTGTGGCAGGGTCTCACTCTGTCACCCAAGCTGGAGTGCAGTGGCAGGATCACAGCTCACTGCAGCCTTGACCTCCTGGGCTCAAACGATTCTCCCACCTTAATCTCTGGAGTAGCTGGGACCACAGGCATGTAACACCATGCCTGGCTAATTTTTTGGGTATTTTTTGTAGAGACGGGGTTTTGCCATGTTGCCCAGGCTGGTCTCCAACTCCTTGAGCTCAAGCAATCCATCTGCCTTGGCCTCCCAAAGTGCTGGAATTATAGGCATGAGCCTCCGCACCTGGCCTGCATTGTTCTTTTGAAGATAAAAAGAGATCACGTTTATTAAGCATTCTGCACATATGTTCACTCTTTCCACAATATTTGCGCACCCAACACATAGTAAACACATTAAATAGTAACTTTTATTACTATTAGCAGTGGTAGCAGTATCAGAAAAGTCCTCTTGGACACCACATGGAGAGTTAGCCGGAGTCACCAGGTGTTCCAGGTTTGCCTTTGGTGGTCCCCTGCTTCTCACCTTTCTTCGAGGTTGCTCTGGTACCTCATCACCTCCACCACCTCCTCTACCATCCTGACCTCAGCCTGGCCTGGAAGAAAGTGCAATGAGTGTGGAAGCACAAGACCAATGCTTCCACCCGAGCTTCGCCCTGCCCTGGGCCACTCCACCCTTCTGAGCCTCAATTTCCTTATCACTGAAATAGGGGGAATACTTTCTGGCTGGCTTCATTTATTGTGAGAGTCAAGAGAATAAACGTTTGTGAAAATACTTTGAAAACAGCCCCTAGCTATCAGTTTTCCACCAGGCGAATTCTCCCTTCTCATCCTCAGCACAAGCTCCTACCCCATTCCTCCCCTTCAAGTCTCTGTTGATTTTCATGGCTTTGGGCATTTTGTTCACAGTTCTGTTGACGTTCCCTTGACCTCAGAATTCTGGAGGTGGCTTAATTCCGACTTCCCCTATGGACACCTCCACAGGGCAGGAAATATGCCTTATTCATTCATCCTGTGATCCCAGTGCCAGGCCCAGGAAGTGCACATAGTAGGAGCTCAGTCAACGCTGGTTCCCTTTCTTCTACCGGCAAATCCCAGGGATGGAGGCCTGAAAAAGGCCCCAGTAGAATTTAAGGGAGCAGACTCTGACCTCTGAGAGAGAGAGAGAGAGAGAGAGAGAGGTTAGGGAAGAAGGGAGGACAGGAGGAAAGGAGGGGAGCGGCCCTGCGCTGCGCAGGCCAAAGGATGCCCACTGTCGCCACACATAGACGCAAGGTAATACCAGTCTCCACAGGGGGACGTTGTGCTGACTGGTTTTAATCAGCGTTCCCAAGGCTGGGAGAACCTCTGAGAGCCTCAGCAGAGAGCCAAGCCACTCTTCCTGGTAGGAAAGCAAACATTCTAAAAGGGAAGTCCTTGGGTAACAAGTTCCACTTCCTCACAGCCAGAGCACTAACCTACAACCCCGCCCTCCCTTCCTCCCCCACCACACAGGCAAACCGTTTCCTCTTCTGCTGAGCTCATGGAAACAAAGAACAGCTGTCCTCTCATTGATTGGTTTAAACATAAGAGACTTTTGCTTTACCTCCCCAACCCCTCACCCCAACCTCTGAAGACCAAAATCTCAGCACAGGCCGGCTCCCCTCAGGCCTCCACCCACTCCCCTGGGCATAGAGGGGCAGCCCCTGGGCCGCCCACAGGGTCCCTCCTCCTCCCTGTGGAGACCAGCCTCTGCCTGCTACTGAGACACACCTGTCCACCCTCGGTGGGGTGACTGCAGCTGCCCGGCCACTGGCTCTTACCAGTGTGGCTTTGGCATTCACACTTTTGCCACCATGATTTTGTCTCTGCAGCGGGCCTTGCGCAAGGCTGGGAGGAAACAGCCTCTGTAGAAATCAAGGTTTCCTGCTTTGTAAGGGCTGACGCGGTGCCATAGAGATATCTCCTATGACTTCGCCAGGCAAACTGCAGGCCAAGGGAAGAATCGGGAGTGTGAAGTCCTGAGTTCACAGCTACTCAGAAACCCCTCTAAGCCTCAGTGTTTTCATTGGAAAAACGACAGTGGCAAACTGCTTATAGAGTGACTGTCAGGATCAAAAGAGATGTGGTTATGAAGGTGCATTGAAAATGGTGCCACCATGAACACACGAGTTGCTATTTCTGCCTGCCACCTCCACAGACCCCAGGTCACCACCAGCTGCCATCTCTACAAGTGGCCCTGCCTTCCTGAAAACCGCAAACCAAGACTTGCCTCCCTGGGCATCTGAATCCACCCCATCCTGTCTCCTTTGGCTTACTTACTCAATCTACACCACAGGGAAATGCATCCATTGCTTAAGAAGTGTGGAAAGTTTCCTCCAGTTTTTTCCATGGTTTGTGTGCTTGTCTTACCTGTTCTGCCTCCTTCCTAGCACCATGGAAGTATAAGCTGGCTCCTCTGCAATGCATCCGTGGCCACTACCTCTGTTCCGTCACGGCACAGGATAACAATAAGTGTGCCAAATGGAAGTGTGTGGGGGGGAGAGGGCACACAGCCAGATGGCTCCTTGGGGCAAAGCCTTATTTCTACCACATAGGACTTTGTAGACATTGCTCTCTGGCTATAGAGGAGTTTTGTGCTCATTTTCTCTTGTGAATCAAGCTAATTTTGGATTCACTGGGATACAATAGTGAACCGAAAGACAGCTGCCTGCAAGAGGAGCTCAGAGAACCCAGCAGAATCAAGCCCTGGGAAGCCTTTTAGAGGATGATTTGCAGAGAAGGAGTGGGACAGTCATAAAGGTCCCATGCTCTCAGTCCTCAGCAGGCTGTCCCTCCCAGTCCCAGGCTCACCTTGCAGAGGTGTGGTAGAGGACAAGCACACCCAGAAGCTTCCAGTCTGAAAGCTGACTGGCACAGCCCACCTCCATGCCACCCACGTTTCTGGGGCCAATGAGCCTCTGAGCTGGGATGTCCTAGGCAAACAACTGCCCTCCTGCCTCAAGGAGCAGAAAGTTCCAGAAGATCCAGGGTAGCTTTATCCCTGACTTAGCAAGCAGACCTAGAAGTGGGATGGAGAAAGGCTTTGAATCTCCCTCCAAAGGTCCAGAGAAATCTCCTTGGAAATTTGATTGATTATTGATTATTGTAACAAGAGTTCCTCCTCCCCCAGGAAACTCTCCAGAGTGGTCTTCTAATAGAGGCAGAACTGTGGGATGGGTGGTCGGAGGTTCCAGCCACTGTGCTAGACCTCTTGGGTTCAAATCTTATCTTCAACAAGTTACCTAATATTCGCTGTGCTTCAGTTTCCTCATCCATAACGTGGAAATTACAACGATATCTATCACATAGGATTGTTTTTGATTAATGAGTTACTATGTGCAAAACACTTAGGGCTCAGTATTGTTATTATAAGAAAGGACTTTACTTAAGAGGCCTCCTAGTTTAATTTCTCTACCATTACAAAAAGATATTCTCTCCCTGATTCTCACACCTTTGTTTCTTTCTTTTCTTTTCTTTTCTTTTTAAGAGAAAGGGTCTCACCATGTTGCCCATGCTAGTCTCAAACTCCTGGGCTCAGCCATCCACTCACCTCAGCCTCCCAAAGTGCTGGGGTAATAGGCATGATCAATATATAATATATATGACATTATATATAATATATTATGTTGCTCCTGGCCTCTGAACTCCAGGTTCAGTGAAAGGAGAATGCTCAGTTCCTTCCTGTGGACTATGAAAGCCACAGGAGCCATTCATCAACAGCAATGGGGTGATGAGAGCCATTTGGGAGTATTAGGAAGTGGAAGGTCTGAGAACCTTTTCAAACTAAGAAATCCACCTGGGCAAAGTGTGCCTGACTTGACTCATTCAGTGCCTGTCCTGCCATATATTTATTATAACTATATTATATCCCAGAACTTTCACATTTATTGTGTTATTTAATCTTCATGATGATCCCACAGAATAGGCTATAAAGATCTTATCAGAGAAGCTGACTGGGACCCTGGGATGGCTGTCCCACCTCCTGTCCTACTGAGAAGGATCCCATCCATCTTTGCTGCAGGCCATTCCACTGAGGAAGCTGCAAAGTGGTTCCATGGAGGACCAGTTCAGAGTCCATAATAACAGGATGACTTAATGACAGGTTGAATCAGTTTGTTATTTGGAGCAGGCACTGCAGGGAAAGGGCTGGCCATGTCAGACGTGGCTCATCCTCTTCCTTCTTCAGAAACACTCCCACTTAATGCTTGACCTCCCAGAGTCAAGGAAGTATGTGACACTATGGCTAGAGCTAAAATTTGCAAAGTCAAGCACACATCCAGCCTGCTAACAAGAAATTCCAGGTGCCCCGAGGACAGTGGTGCTGGCCTCAAAGTCACAAGAGCTTTCTGGGTTTAGACTCACCCTGCACTGACTCTGGGGAGTTGGGAGTAAGCCACCATGCACCTGGCCTGGGAGGATCATCCTGCCCTGCTTACAGGGGAGAGGGACAGAGCCTGTCAGTCACAGCCCCAGCTCTCCGGCATGATGCCAGAAGTCAGGAGCCTGGTGAACTCTCTCGCTCAGCCACCGCCTCTCTGGATCTCAGACCCCTTCATTATAAAGTGAGGATATCGGACTAACCATACCTAAGATAGCCGTGAGCTTGGACAGCCTGGATGACCTTCTCTGTGCCAAATTACCCTCATTCCTTCCATCTTGTGTCATTTGTCTGCCACTTATCGGTCTCAAATATATCTTTTTTTAATCAGTTTTATCAGGCTTTTATCAGTTTAGTTCAATTCAACGTTCCCCAAGCAGCTGGTATACACCCGACATTGACCCGATACTGGAAAATCAATGGTGCTAAGATATCTGTTTTCAGGGTGCTTCCAGTCTAGCAGAGGAAGGCAGGCAAGGGAACAGACAATGAGACCAGGGTCTCTGGAAGCTGTGGGAAGGAGAAGAACAGGGAAAAGATCCCACCAGGCCAGAAAGGGTCTTCCTGAGGAGACTTGGGTCTGAGAAGAAACTCACCCTTTCCAGGAGAAGTAGGGGCAAGGGAGAAGGGGACTAATATTTTTTGTTTGTTTTGTTTTAAGATGGGGTTTCACTATGTTGCCCAAGCTGGAGTGAATGACTATTCACAGATGCAATAATAATGCACTGTAGCCTCGAACTTTGGGCTCAAGGGATCCTCTCATCTCAGCCTCCTGAATAGCTGAGACTATAGGTGTAAGCCATTGCAACTGGCTGGGGGGACTAACTTGTAAGTTATTATTATTATTATTATTATTCATTTATTCATTTATTTTTGATACAACGTCTGGCTATATCGCCCAGGCTGGAGTGCAGTGGCGTGATCTCAGCTCACTGCAGCCTCCATCTCCCAGGCTCAAGTGATCCTCTCACCTCAGCCTCCCGAGTAGCTGAAACTACATGCACACACCACTACACTTGGCTAATTTTTGTATTTTTTGTAGAGGTGGGGTTTCACCGTGTTGCCCAAGCTGGTTGCAAACTCCTGAGCTCAAGCCTCGCCTCCCAGAGTCTTGGGATTACAGGCATGAGCCACCGTGCCTAGCCTTAAGTAATTATTTCTAATAGACCAAACACCATACTAGACAACTTACATGTATTATTTCACTTCATTCTTATAACCTTTTGAGTAAGTATTAAGCCCATTTTACAGATGAACAAACTAAGGTTCAGGGTGCCTAAACCCATACTATAGGGTCAAGCTGAGACTCAAATTCAAATCTGCCTGATTCTAGAACCCACTCTCTTTCCACCCAACTAACAGAGTGTGAAGGGCACAAATAGCTGAGACTTTGAATACTGGGCAGGGCCTGGGCCTGCTGGCCTTTTCTGAATCCTCCTGGCATCTTCCCCAGCCAACAGGAGAACTGCCACTTTAAGAGGCGCAGACCCTTAGAAGGGTTGGTTTCCATTCATTTTTAATGACCCAGCTGCCGTGGTCTCCCTGCCTCCCCATGGACTAGTCCAGGAGTTTCTCTGCAACTGAGCACTCACCACACTGGGGCCTGTCAATGTTTAATGGCAGCAAGGATCTTATCTCGGTTACCCAAGTCGTTTAGATTACTCCTGCACAGGGTACCTGGAGCATGAGGGAAGGCAGCAGATGGCAGACCCGTCAGTCACCCCTCTGCTCTGCGGAGGGAGGAGGGATTATTGGAGCAGAAAGGTTGAGAGGGTGGGAAAAACCGAGGGTGGCAGGGAGACACACTGTAACAGGACAGAACGCCTCGCTGCACATTTGCATGGCCCTGGCTGTGTTCTCCACCCTGCCTATTCTCGGTCCCTCCCATAGGGACTGCCCACTGCACACACTCTTAAGGGCCTCCTGGGAGACCCAAAACACAGGGGAGCGAGTGGTTGAATTTCTGTGGAGCTTGACCACAGAAAGTGACCTCTGAACCCACTCTGGTGTTCCCTGGGCATCAGAATCTCTGCTTATTTTCAG